AAAAAAAACATTGTGGGACTATTAAAGGTGAACTTATATGGCTATAGAGAAGAAAACTAAAATTATGTTTCATGCCATTCCCTCTATTTTCTTAATTGTTCTGCCTTAGTCAAATTTTGCCACATGGGACGTCATGGTGAAATATCCGAGAGTCGGGCAAAATTGGATCACCATAACTAAACATCCCGTTGTCACAAACCTGCAACCTGGCTCATTACGCTAAGCATTTCCAGGCAGCCTTGCAAATCATTATTTCTGTTTGTCGGACAGAAGGGGACAGAAGGGGAAAGCACTCGCAGATGAAAGAAACTTCCATATACTCTTCCCCCATCGCAATTTTCCATTTCCACCATTACGGAAAGCTAATGGGGAAGTGGAGTCATCCAAAGCAAGACGAGAGGTCACGAATCTCATCAGTCATTTTAAGAACATATCATATCTACAGTACACTACATGTTCATTTGATCTGCCTTCACCTAATCATCTCTTGACTTTCTATTGTTTGAATCATGCGCAGCCAAGCATCACTCTGGCCTCATATGGATGGAAAAGGTCTGGCGAGGACAGCCGTGAACAGGCTGATTGAGTCAGAGCCTCAGTCTAAGGTCGAAGAGGAGGTGAGAAGGTCTTCGATGGGCAGGCCAGGCTAATTCTTCTACTTGGTTGAACAAAGTCCTGAATAATTGTGGCCCCTGGGTTGGCCTGCGGGGAGCAGAACACGCCAGGGGAGCAGAGGGGAGGATCTCAGAGCAGCTTGGCTTTTCTATCCATCCATTCTCTGCGTTGCTTATCCGATTGGGTCGTGGGGTGAGCTGGAACCTTTCCCAGATATGCTTTAAATGTACACCAAGTAAGTCAGTACAGTTTGTTTAAGTGCCACTTCTTGCATATGGGCTCATATTGCTTTTAACAAACACTTACATATATTTTATGGCTCACATAAAACAAACAGGGCGGCCCGGTGAGTGGTTCGCCCATCGATGTCACAACGCAGAGATACCGGGTTCGATTCCAGCTCTGGCCTTCCTGTGTGGAGTTTGCAAGTTCTCCCCGTGCCTGTGTGAAATTTCTCCAGGTACTCCGGTTTCCTAATAATAAAACTTATCAGTGAGTTGACCGTTCCTGTAGCGCCACCATAAAGTCAGACTTTTAAATTAGAATAATGTATCTTAAAATGTTTTCATGTAAAAATCTTTTGAAATTTTATGACAACTTTAAGAGCCACAAGAGGATGAAACCTGAGGATCACCAATGCGTGCAATATGTGTTCAGGACATTGAAAAAAAATAGCATCTTGATAATTTTATGCTTAATCAATTGCCCCCATCAAATTAGGAAAAGTCATAAAATCTGGAGTAAAAAAGTCAACTATTATTTCATCCATCCATCCATTTTTCCGATCCGCTTATCCTCACAAGGGTCGCGGGGGGTGTTGGAGCCTATCCCAGCCGTCTTCGGGCAGTCGGCGGGGGACACCCTGAACCGGTTGCCAGCCAATCGTAGGGCACACAGAGACGAACAACCATCCATGCTCACACTCACACCTAGGGACAATTGTGAGTGTTCAATCAGCCTGCCATGCATGTTTTTGAAATGTGGGAGGAAACCGCAGTACCCAGAGAAAACCCACGCAGGCCCGGGGAGAACATGCAAACTCCACACAGGGAGGCCAGAGCTGGAATTGAACCCGGTACCTCTGCACTGTGAGGTCAACGCGCTAACCACTGGACCACCGGGCCACCCCAACAATTATTTTTAGAATAAGAAAAATTGAATTGGGTCAAATTGACCCCAAGGATAATAGGATAGTTAAAATAACCACAGTTTAACCTTAGTCTGCTATCTTAATTCTAATATCAAATGGCTTCAAGTTGAGGTGCTTTAACCCTTGAAACTACGGACTGAAAACAGTACAGCAAAATGTACACTGGCAATACAATAGTACAGTATTCGCATGCATATATTGTTTATGCTTTGCATATAACAACTAATATTACTGCTGTAGGCCCAATGATGAGGAAAACGGAAGTTCAATGAACAGTATAGCTGTCAGTCCGTCTATTGCTACCCTCAGCTGGCTAAGGTCGGCACACCAGAAGGGGCAGTTGAGACACCATTTATATTATTGAAACCACAACCGTGATGGCTTTAGTGAGCTGTAAGCGTGTGAGGGTCGCTCAGGTGTAATGGCACGCGAGATTAAAAGTAAAAAAATGAAGGGATACATCTTGAATCTAAAAATCACCGTCACGTCAAACGGCTTGTGTTTTTCTGTTTCCAATTATCAGTTTGTCTTGTGCGATCGCCCTCATTAATTCGACCTAATTACGACAAACTGTGTATGCAGCCTTTCTGTCTGGAAAGTGAGAAAAAAAATGAAAAATAATAATTAGACTCCACGACATTTGAACTCGGACGCCGGTCAGAAATGTTATGGCGTAGCAACACTGCCCTCTAGGGGCCTCTGCATGAAGTAACCTTGCTGTCAGGAAATGGATTGTGACAGTCTCATTTATTATCTCCATCCCTGTGACCCAAACATCCTTCTCATGTCCGAATCGAGTGCACATTCAAGCTCGACAACCATGTTTTCAGCACTTCTGTCTTATCTAATCGATCAATTATAATGTAGGAAGAGTGGGTCGATTCATTAGATTAAGAAAAGTGCATAGATTTAAACTACAAATTAAGTATTCCAATTATGCTCACTGATGGATATCAGAAGGATCCTCTGGTTTATTTTACACTCGGTGAGAGAGGGATGATGTGTGTATTTGGTGACATGTTATTTGCACGACCTTTTGCCATCAAATGGAGAAACACTGTGCTCTGGTGTGCCTTTTTATATGTGTCTCTTTGATTCATATGATGACAGGCAGCAAAAACAGATATTAAGAGTCACAGGTCAGTTTGGAGCTCTGGAGGATGTGGTGTTGTGTGTGTGCGATGCGGTTCCAAAGAGCGAACGCCGTGTGCAATCACGAGGAAGAGAAGGCCAGACAGCAGGCTGAAGAAGGAAGCCACGGGAGCCAGCTGGAACGACGGTCCGTGCTGGATGCTCAGGTGGAAGGATTTGCAGCCGCTCACTTGCTGACCTCGGGCAAACTCCTCCAGTGTGTCCAACACGTGGACCCACATCACATACATGAGCACCACGGCGAGCAGACACACACCTGCCGCACACAAGGACGGATGAAACAGGGTAGGTGACGCATTAATAGTATTTGTCTTTTTTTTAACTGGGCCGAATCAAGTTTTTGACAAAAGCTCCAAGCAGGAGCGCAACATCTGCATGAGCACACATAGGTCGTGTCATCCACATCAACAGGATGACTTTTAAGATTTGACCTTAAGCCGATTGTGTTTTCACTCATTCAAAACAGATTTTCAAATAAATAAATGAGGCCAGGTGATCTGCTGGTTAGCACGTCTGCCTCACAGTGCAGAGGTGCAGGGTTCGACCTTCCTGTGTGGAGTTTGCATGTTTGGGAGGGGAAATGGAGCTTTGTACTTACCCCCGCAAATCAAAAGAGCTCCACCCACTTTGTAGAATTTGTGCTTGGAGAGAGCGGCAGTACAGATGACAGAGAGCCCACCGGTGGTCACAGTGGCCACACCCGTGATGAGGAAGATGCTCCAAAACGTTCTGAAAACTGAGAAAGTGGCAATGAGGTACGCTGAAGACATTGTGTGTGTACACATGTGAAGGATGACATGTCCCACCAATGGCGCTGTGGTGCTCGTAAGGTTCAGCAGCAGGCGAGTCCGGTGATTGCACCCAAAACGGGTTCTTCGCAGGAAATGGGAAGAGGAACGCTGCCTGGCACACTTTTATGTGTGGCGCTTTTACTGAAGGGTAAAAAACATTGTTGTGACCATTGTTGTCAAAGCAGAGTTAAAATCATGCTACGTGTGTGTAAAATGATCTTACAGATCCAAAGATCCCAAAGAGAGTATTTTTGAGATCTTGCTGGGAAGGAGCATCGCCAGAACAGCCCCTCGTGGAAGAGCATGCTGTCTGCCCCCTTGCGTCATAACACCACCGGTTAATTATTAGTGCAATGCATGGATATTTCAGTAAGGCAGGGCTGTGCAAACTTTTAACACCGAAGCCGCATACATTTCCTGTTCTCTCTCGTGCCAACACGGAGACGCTGATGCATGCTTTTATTGCGAGTCCCTTTGACTATACTTGCTCTCTGGTGTCCCGAAAAGCAGTATTTCAGGTTGAAAACTTTTACAAAATTCTGCAGCACGCGTCTTCACAAACACCAGGAGGCGGCCCACATTACACCGCTATTAGAAACCCTGAATTGGCTCCGTGTGTGATTAAGGGTCCAATCTATTTTTCTTCGTTTAAATGGTTTATGTGTCTTCATGGTCTTGGTACTTCTCATCTTTCAGAACTGCTTGAGTATTATGAACTCTTGCGTTCCCCTCTACTCCTCTGGCAGAGGGCTCCTAGTCATTCCCAGAGTAAGGAAAAAAACATTTTTAAGTCTTGATGTAACAATTACAGTAGATAAACATGTTAATTGGTTTAGCAGCACACATGCACATGGGACACAGCAAGGATACTAATCATTTTTTTGTATCTTTAATGAATCTTTTTACCACCATTTTAACTTGAAATGCTGAATAAGCGCAAACAAAGTACCGTATGCTACCTCTGTCTCTCTTGAGCCACTTCCTGGATGGCAGAGCTCAGCCGAACCCAGCAGCCAGTAGTCAGTCGTGCAGGAAAACAGAGTGGACAGAAGGCCCAGTGCCACAGAGAACAAAGCAAAGAAGAGAAGCACGCTTAAGCGCTCATCTGGGGCCAGGTGGAAACGCTTGGACATGCTGACGGCCAGCTCCATATGTTCCCAGCGTCGGAGTGTGGCTACATGACTTCCCTGTCAGTTGAAGGATGAAAATAAACACTTGCATCATGTGTCAGGAAGGAGAGGAGCAGATGCCACAACTAAATATAATGACATGGTGATCAGAAAGTCAGGAGAAAGGGTGTCAAACATCTCAGCTTTTATTAGAATGGCAGTACAGACACCAGGATTCAACAAATCTCACCGCATGTTCGTCTGTGACTAAAACTTTTGTATTGTGAAGATGTGCCTGCATTGAAAAGTGAGTTAAAACAATTCCGCCAAAGACTCATAATTGCATCAGAGCATGGCTGGATGCTTGTGTTTGTCATCATGTCACTCTCAAACATCATAAAGACTTCATCTACTTTTTCACTATTTTGTTTTTTTGTTTATAACTTCACACAAACTAAGTATTCTTGTTCCAACACCTTTTGGAAGGACAGTATGGTAACATTTCATGACTCATCCTTTATTTACTTTTGCCTCTTGATGGGCAAGCTGACCCAGGTATGTTCAAGCAGACTCAAGTCAAGTAAGCATGTGACAACCCTGTGAGCATTAATTAAATATTTACCAGCGATTATTAAATTATTTGCAGGAAACACAATTAGAGTTGTTGCTCATCCCTTCTAATTGATGGAGTACGTCGCTACCATTGTTGGTAGTTTGTTTGGTCCGCTGTCACTCGATCTGAATGGAGAGGTCCTTTGGAGCACCAAAGGCTCATGAGACCGCCACATATGTGCTTCCTCCTTTTGCCATCCAGTTCAGCCCAACGAGCTCCCCCTGGCCTAAGACATGACCCCGAACACGGGGTTGTGGCGACATATGCTTGGACCAATTTCCTCATAGTCTTTCTTGGTGTGGCACACTTGGTAGAACTCGGGCTGCCGAAACAAATGAAACATTAAAGATACAAGTCGTAAAATTTCAAGCAAAATAGTTTGACACTCACAGTGGACGCCAACATGGAGCCTCCAAACCAGACGGCGTAGCGCTGCATGTGATGGGTGATGACCTGCACATCAATGGGCTTTGGCTGCCAAAAAAATAAATACATGAATAAACAAAGATAACCAGAAGCACAGAAATACCTAACTGAGCTCAATTGTGATCAAGCATTATTCACTTTGAAAATTTTGCAAAAATGAATGAGTGACCGCCCCCCCCCCGACCCCACCCAAAGAAAAAGGTTTATAAGTCTGAGTAACCCCTTTGATTGAAAATAATTTTGGTAAGAACTTCATAAAGCAGTGATAAACGTTCACTATATACAGTGCATTTTCCACCAAAAACCGGGGAGTGGTGGTTGGTCCAGAGGAAAAAAAAAAATCTGTGAATATGCAAATTCAGGGGTGTCAAACTGCAAAGATGCAGAGGTCGACTATTGTTTATGTTGTAACATCACCAACTACCATTAGATGGTAGATATGTCTTAGTTGTGCTGACTTGTACTGCCCAGTCACAATGCTGAAAAATGGTGGCCCCCTCCTGCATTTAAGCTGCGCATTGCTATAGATGCTGCAGATGGCGCCAAAGGACTAATTTATGACTGCATATAGATGGGGGGAATGTAGACATATTTTGATATCATTACTACTATTGTGTCTACTTTTTATTAGTTTATTACTATACGAAACTATCAAAAATTTGATTTGCTGAATAATAATCATGACAATACATTTTTCAATGGTTTCATCTTTGAACTTGGCTGAGGCTCAAACCTTTCAGTAAGTTTCAAGGCCAAGTGTGAAATAGTTTTCATGTCATCTTGTTATATAAAACACACCACCTCCTTCTAAAGATTCTTTGCAAATTACAGTAACTGTAAACTTTCCATTTGTAATGTAGTAAAATAATTTCTCTGTGCTCCTCACCTTTAACTTGCCACCGCTCAGTTCCTCACTGATTTTCAGCCGTGCATCCACAGTCCGCTTGAGATCTCTCTGCAGGCGTCGACCAAAGTCTCGGAACATGGTGGAGCCTCCAGAGAGCACAATGTTCTGTGGCACAGGTGACATATTAACACAAAGTAAATGCACATAACCTGGTCGCATTTTGTTTCACGCCAACATGGAGCCTCCAAACCAGACGGCGTAGCGCTGCATGTGATGGGTGATGACCTGCACATCAATGGGCTTTGGCTGCCAAAAAAATAAATACATGAATAAACAAAGATAACCAGAAGCACAGAAATACCTAACTGAGCTCAATTGTGATCAAGCATTATTCACTTTGAAAATTTTGCAAAAATGAATGAGTGACCGCCCCCCCCCCGACCCCACCCAAAGAAAAAGGTTTATAAGTCTGAGTAACCCCTTTGATTGAAAATAATTTTGGTAAGAACTTCATAAAGCAGTGATAAACGTTCACTATATACAGTGCATTTTCCACCAAAAACCGGGGAGTGGTGGTTGGTCCAGAGGAAAAAAAAAAATCTGTGAATATGCAAATTCAGGGGTGTCAAACTGCAAAGATGCAGAGGTCGACTATTGTTTATGTTGTAACATCACCAACTACCATTAGATGGTAGATATGTCTTAGTTGTGCTGACTTGTACTGCCCAGTCACAATGCTGAAAAATGGTGGCCCCCTCCTGCATTTAAGCTGCGCATTGCTATAGATGCTGCAGATGGCGCCAAAGGACTAATTTATGACTGCATATAGATGGGGGGAATGTAGACATATTTTGATATCATTACTACTATTGTGTCTACTTTTTATTAGTTTATTACTATACGAAACTATCAAAAATTTGATTTGCTGAATAATAATCATGACAATACATTTTTCAATGGTTTCATCTTTGAACTTGGCTGAGGCTCAAACCTTTCAGTAAGTTTCAAGGCCAAGTGTGAAATAGTTTTCATGTCATCTTGTTATATAAAACACACCACCTCCTTCTAAAGATTCTTTGCAAATTACAGTAACTGTAAACTTTCCATTTGTAATGTAGTAAAATAATTTCTCTGTGCTCCTCACCTTTAACTTGCCACCGCTCAGTTCCTCACTGATTTTCAGCCGTGCATCCACAGTCCGCTTGAGATCTCTCTGCAGGCGTCGACCAAAGTCTCGGAACATGGTGGAGCCTCCAGAGAGCACAATGTTCTGTGGCACAGGTGACATATTAACACAAAGTAAATGCACATAACCTGGTCGCATTTTGTTTCTGCACCTTGTAGAGGGGGCGGCGGACGTCGATAGGGCAGTTCTGGATGACCTCATCAACCACCTCTGAGATCGGCTGCGTGAAATCTGGGTTGGCAAACTGCATGAGAGCAAATGATTATAAACTCGAACTTGTGAAAATCCACATGTGGCCGAATGGAAATGCAAAGGCACCTCCGGGTGGAAGAAGATCTCAGGCCCAAGGAAACGCTCATAGCCCACATCTATCTGGAAGGCTTTCTTGGTGATGGCGTTGACACCTGTGTACTGCTTGATCCACTTGGACCCGTCTGTGTCGTACTTGTTAAACTCCTTGACAAGGTCTGGGCAGACATAGCTGAAGCGCTCCTGTAGTGACACACGATGAAACACACGGCATTGAAGCAGCACAAGAAAGTGAATACAGCAGTTTGACACGGAAGCTTCCATACGTCCTGGGGAAGAAGGATTTGATATATGAGGAGTATGAGCTATAAGTGTGGTCACAGAAGGAAATAAACTTGCAAGTCAGGACTGTACAGTCTGTTCTCCTTTTTCTTAATGCCAATTCAGCAGTTCTACCGCTCTCTAGGTGACATGCGAAAAAGGATGACCAACTCTTCAGCTGCAGGAAGTCAAACTGACTGACCTTGACAGCTTTAGCGGTATCCAGCGACTGCTCAGGAGGGATTCCCACTTCCCGTTCCCTCAAGAGCTGTTGGATGAAGTATGTGATGTCCCGGCCCGCAATGGGGATGTGTTTGATGCAGCTGCCGATGACGTAGCCTTCAGCCTGGAATGCAATGAGAAAACCAAATGAGGGCAGGAACGGGTGGAAAATAGACAAGAATACTGTATAGTCGGCCAGTCAACGCACCACTGGAATGACGTGCGTGACTCCATCGCCGCTGTCGATCACCGTCCCCGTCAGTGTTCGCTCGCCCACCTGTCGGGACGTCCAGGAGGCTGCCAGTGCCAGGACAGCCTAAGACCACAGTTGCAATATTTACAATTAAACATACCATCGGCTTGTAGAGTGGTTGTCTCACTTTTTACAAGGACATGGAACACATAAATTCAGCCATTGGTAGAGATTTAGACTCTACCAACCAAGCGTAATAACGCTACTTGATGACATCATCACATCTGCCTCTGTGTGGGTGTCCAACCAGTCGATAACGATCGACCGGTAGAACGCGGACTGGTTCCAAGTTGATCGTGGGACGTGTAGGGGGAAATGGGGAAAAAACATGTGCGCGCGGGCGTGCGTGTGATTATCCATCCATCCATTTTCTGATCCGCTTTATCCTCACAAGGGTCGTGGCGCATGCTGGAGCCTATCCCAGCTATCTTCGGGGAGTAGGCAGGGGACACCCTGAACCGGTTGCCAGCCAATCGCAGGGCACACAGAGACAAACAACCATCCGCACACACACTCACACTTACGGCCAATTTAGAGTGTTTGTATGTTATTAATGTTATATATTTTTGTGCTGGAGTACACTACACCCGAAGTATTCCATCAGTTTCATCCGTCCATCCATCCACTTTCTACTGCTTATCCGGGGCCGGGTCGCTGGGGCCATGGTTTTAGCAGGGAAGCCCAGACTTCCCTCTCCCCACCACTTCTTGCAGCTCATCCTGGGGGATCCCAAGTCATTCCTAGTGCAGCTGGGAGACAAAGTCTCTCCAGTGTGTCCTGGGTTGTCCCTGGGGCCTCCTGCCGGTGGGATATGCCCAGGACACCTCAGGTGTCCAAGGGGGAACCTAATCATATGCCTGGGACACCTCATCTGGAGATGTGGAGGAGAAGCGGCTCGACTCCGAGCTCACCCCGGATGATCGAGCTTCTCACCTTATCTCTAAGGGAGATCCCGGACACCCTAAGTAGGAAACTCATATCGGCTGCTTGCATTCGTAACCTCATTCTTTCGGCCACGACCCACAGCTCGTGACCAGAGGTGAGGGTGGGAACATAGATCGACCGGTAAATCGAGAACTTCACCTTTGGCTCAGCTCTTTCTTTGTCACGTCAGACCGATATAACATCCGCATCATAAAAGACGCTTCACCGATCCGCCTATACCATTAACATGTAACATCATCATGAAGTGATTACATTCACACAATCATACAAAGTGCGCCACACTTCTCTCAGTATCCCGTAAAGAAGTTGATTGTCACACTTTGGTACCTGAACAGCAATGTAGAGACCTGGGACGTTGAACGACTCAAACATGATCTCTGCTGTGTACTCTCTGTTTTCTGGTGTGTTTAATGGAGGTTCTGTCTGTAAGGACGAGACACATAACACGTTACCAATGGCTGAATAAAACAATGCAACTATTTCTGGGTAGGTACACAGAATGTAGGAAACTGAGCTTTTACCAAGAGGAAGTAATGATCTTCAGGTTCTGCCCGCAGATACTTGAAGATGACCTGCTCCATGAACCTCTCCATTAGATCCCAGTCTTCCACTATTCCGTGTCGGATTGGCCACTGGGATGGAGAAAATGGTAAGTGTCAATCCTCTGCTGAAAAGTGTAACCAAACCGTTTATGCATGGCAAAATGACATCTCACTTTTGTTGCATATGATGGCTTATCGATGGCTTCATCACCAATGAAAAAATCCAGATCATCAATGCCCTTCATCATTCGGCGCTGCGCCTGGTCTCCAACTTTGGCTGACTCTTTGATTGCGATGCCTGATCAAACAGGAAATAAGTGAGAAAACAAATCAACAAAGCTTCTTCAATAGGTTCTACTTTAAACCAAATAAGATTTTTTTTTAATTGAAGTGACTTTTTCAGCTGCCATGAGAACATAGTACAAATAGATCTGAAAATCTTTCTGTTGGTGTGCAGAACTCTGAATGGCCTTTCAGTTTTCTGTCACGTCATTAAACTAGCTCTTTCATCTCATGACTTACATGACGGTATGATGAACTGAGGTTCCGTGTTTCCAGCATAACCAAGCTTTGTGTACCTGCATGGGGAAGAGAGTCAGTCAGTAAGTCGCTATTTGCCTATCCCACACTTGCTGGAAATTACGGGTTGCTACAGCTCAAATTATGTTGACGTCGTGGTTTGTGAGGGGAGAGTGGACCGGGAAGTAGCATTCGTCCCATTAGCCACCGAAAGGAAACAGTTTTTAAAAGCAGCGGTATCAAACAAAGCAAGCCTGGGCGATTTGGAGTGCCCCTAAGTAAGAATAACTGGCAACTTTGACGATACAGATTAGAGAGGAAAGCGGTGCTAACGAGGAGGGCGTTAGCCAGGAAATTGACATGCAAGCAAACAGCAGCTAAATAGCGCTAGCAAGTTCCACACATACCCTGTGCCACAGTCGACAACGCAAGCCGGCAGTCGACCAGCCATGCTCGCTCGCCTTCTAGCCGAATTCAAGGTAAATATCCCAGGCGCCCGATCTGGACGGATGTGCCGGTCGCGGGTGATTTAAGTCGCCACAACCTCAATGAACAGAGCAGCAGCAGCAGCAGTCAGGGCAAATGGATGAGCGCTTCCGGGTTCCCGGAGATTTACTTTCATGCACAATGACTCGTCAAAGGTGAAACAGCGACCCCGCGTGTATGGCATTAGCTAGTGTAATAGATTTCTTCTTCTTCTGTAATTTATTTGACGGTTGACAAACCAGCTTTCAAGTGCATTACCGCCACCCACAAGACTGGAGAATGAAACAACAGAAAGGCAACAAATAAAATATCCATCCATTCATTTTCTAATGTGTATTTTCTCACGAGGGTCAGCCGGCGTGTCGGAGCCTATCCCAGCTGGCTTTGGGCAGTAGACGGCGTACACCACATGTGTCAAAGTCAAGGCCCGGGGGCCAGATCTGGCCCGCCACATCATTTTATGTGGCCCGCGAAAGCAAATCGAGCATGTCAAGTTCGATGATGCCTGCTCAATTCTGAACCAAATTGTCATATGTACTCCACAATAACGGTCATTATTCTTGACTTCTGATTTTAAAACTAGTTATTCATCGATTTGTTGTGTGCTGTGCATGTAATATGTGGAGATGATTCAACATTTATATGGTTTCCCAAAATTCATAACGGCCCCCCAAGGCAAACCGTAACTACAATGTGGCCCGCGGACAAAAATGAGTTTGACACCCCTGGCGTACACCCTGAATTGGTTCGCAAGCCAATCGCAGGGGGAAAAAAAAATCTGAATTTTAGTTGTTGCTGCAATCCCAATTGCGGGAGTCAATTCTGAAAGCAGGTTCATTTTCATTTAGCACTGTTGTAAAGTTACACTTGTTAAATTCCTTTCCATTTACGATGAAGATTCTCTTTCACCATTATAAAGATGCATCCCACGACCGCAGAGGCAGCATATCAGCATTGAACTATCCTAAACAGTTTCCGACTGTCGTCCTTTCACATCCAAATACTTTTTAGTAGATTTGTGCAACAGATTTAATTCAATTGTAACTTTTTTCATTCAATTATAACGTGTCAAGCGAACCGTGACACGTTCATTGTGTATTTGGCTCCCGGGTCTTCAGTGGGAACTTAATTGCCCTCTTCACCTCCTGGATCCTGTGACGGCCATTTCTGTCCATTTTGCGTCCAAGAACATAAACAAAAACAAAACAAAAAAAACCCCAAAATATTTTTATAATTATTTCATTTTAAATTACAAAATAGTTTTAGCTGTATTAATTTTAAAAAAGCCATGAATGTTATAGCTAAATATTGGCCACAATTACCAGTATTTTATTTTATTTTCACGTCATATCTATTGATCCTTTCTAACAATGAAAAGTTTGAAAATGAAGGGAGGTAAACGCTAGAGAGCAGTCGTGCACAATCCATATCCCCCCACCCCCACCCCACCCCCCATCTCCCATTTTTCTATTCATTTCGTGTGTACTGTGTAAGAATTGAGAGTAGTAGCCATAATGCTAACCATTTTGGTGAAGGGCAGTATATTTCACATTGGTTGAATGCTTTCCTGCATCTTGCCATTCATTTTCCATCATGAGCTGCTTTAATTTTGATGCCATTTTACTGTGTGCCTACGTTTTACTGCAAGTAGCAACGGTTAAGTAGCTTTTAAAGCTGCTTCGTCCGTAGATTTAGGATGAGCGTTCAAATGTGGAGTTATTTCATATAGTATAAGGAATAGAGATGATTGACTCATTGTATGGTGGCTCTTCCCCCATCGTACACTTATGAGTTAAGTATTTCTGCCACAACTCCATTGTCACTTGTTTGTGTGCACATCATTAGAGCTAGGCTTTAGGTTCACCTTACTCTTATTATTTTTAATAATGAGCTGCTTTTGCTGCCCTTTAACCACAGCCGGAGGTGTGGTTAGCCTATGCCGACCTCCTCCTCTGCACTCGGCCTTAACAGAGCCCATGTTGAGGCAACAGTAGAGCTGCACGGTAGTTTGCATGTAACCAGCTCACATTATTCACGAAATCGGCGTAGTGCTAATAAGTTGTTTCTCTGCCTGAGTCAATAATTGTGAGCAGCTCAGTTGTGCCCCTGGCTATGCGTCCCCGAATCAAATTCCTGACAAGTTCATCGTCTTTGATTGGGACACAAGTGCCCATCACGAAGGGGTAAACTGTTAGGTATAATAGTACATGGTGGATGACTGTAACGATCAAATGCACAGAGTAGTATAAGTCATAGTGGTTGATGCCTTGGGTTTATTTTTACCGTACATTGTTTCCTCACCCTCTTGAGCTGAGCATGAAACATCCGCATAAAGATAATCCAAAAAAAGAAAAAAAAAGCCTAATTCAAAGTTTAGTGAGGATGAAAATGCTGAAAACAATCAGTAATTGGATGATCTCAACACATTTTTGTGGGGGTTATTATTAACTTAGCAGGACTTACTTTTTCCTCCTCAGAAAAGCCACACAGACTGAGAAATGTCTGTTCTTGTTAGCATTATGCCCATTCTGACTTTGCCAACTGGACAAGGTTCATTTGTGTACAAGCATTCACGACACAAAAAGTAACCCTCATGGCCCCTGCTTGGCAATATTTTTCATACCTGTACTTAAAGTTAATTCAAGTGTAGCACCCTTGAAAAAAAACATGAAAGTGGTTGTGAATGCCCCCACCCCATCAAAAAAACACTCATGCTGTGTCAACACAAAATCCACTCACAATTCATATCAGAAGAATATTTTTACTCTTCATAAAAGACCAATCAGAGCAAAACCATAATATTTAAATACCGAAACACTGAACCAAATAAAGGCATTATCACACATACTGAGGAAAGAATGAAAGCAAGCGTGAAAGCATCATTTATTCTGAAATGAGTGTTGTTTCATACACTAATCAGGCTAGTTGATCTTGATCTAATTCTAAACATTACTTACAACCTGAAGCAACTCTCAAAGTGAGAGTTATATTGTGCTTGTGGTTCTTGTGTTGACTTCACTCATTTCTTTCTTTGTTGCTCTTCGGGTCTGACGCTTGAACCAGGGGTCAAAGAAAGAAATACAATTGAAATGCTTTATATATACATATAAGTATGCATAAATCACTTTAGGCACTATCCATCATGCCTGAGGATGGTGTGGGCTTACCATTGTGCATTTACTTGATGACTACAGCAACACCGAGGGCAAGACAATTCATATAACTTATAGTGGCAGCCATGACAGCAGGAAATGTCCGCCTCATATTTTGGTGCACCACCCCGACCTCCCCCTCGAAACAAACCTGCACGGTTCTCTGGTGTTCCACAAAACAGATGATTGAGATGGCGTACCCACTGAGATTCCTAGTGGTGCTGACCGGGTTCAGGATTTTCCTAAATGGTCTTTTTGGATGTGTGTAGAAACAAGCTTAAAAAAAAACCCATCCCCAATCCCATGGTTCAGATCAAACAAGCGGCGTGCAGGAGATGCGACAGAGAAAGAAGCGAAAGAAGGAGAGTGATGATGATGCTCATCTGTGGGTTGGGCGTTGCCATCGAGTGAACGGGCCGCTTCCTCTTGGGCCCGTTGCAGAGTGCTGTGTTGCAGCAGGAAATGCAGACCGAGTTCAGCCTCCCGGTGCAGAACTGCTGGTAGCCGGAGGAAGCGATGAGGCACGCTGCGGACGATGCGCACGACTTCCGATAATGAATCCCTGTGAAGAAGGGACAAGTCGGATTATTAATCTACTCCCGGTGGAATCGGACCAGGCCTCTGATTTCATCTGCGGCGTAGTCGCATAGCATCAGTCTGGCATTTATTCATCACTTCTGTCACAGTATAGCATGGAAATGAAAGGCAATCATGGTTTCCTTGTTTTATTCACACTTTTCTTTGTGTCCACCTAGGTAGGGTCATCTTAGACCCGCCGCACCCCGAGCGATCCAACCGAATGCAACTGAAATAGAAAATCGCGAACGAATTATCGCCGGCGACTCACCGTCGCACACATACCAACTCACTGCAATAGAAAAATCGAAACCCTCAGTGTTCTTCTCAGGAAAAAAATGTAGCATACCCACATATTACTTTATTGAAGCAGAAAATAGCATAAATGACAAGGAAAAACTAGAAGGCCTTCACCACTTTTATCCTAATAATACAAAGAGCGGAAGAGAGGAAAGGAGAGAGTGGATATTTGAGAGGCTATTGGCCTTCATTGGCTATTGGCCTTCATTGATGGCACTCATACATTTCGGCAACAAAGACTCATCAAGCTTTGCTTGTAAACCAAAGGTACAGATGAAATTCTAAATACTGTATACTTACGTAGTGTTGTAAAACATGTATATACTGTATTGGGAGCGGGCTTGCTCTTGCTTGGTAACCAGAAAACTTGTTTTTGTAATATGGAATTTTTGCTTTGCTGTTCTATTTGTGGAGTTCTTAGATTGGGGATAGGGTTCAGCTGCGATTGAAATTTTGCATCACAGCATTGCCCGCTCATTGCAGAGGCACCTCGCAACAGTTCAGTCATGGTCACTCGGTGTGTGGCGGGCCATGGACGCAGCAAGTGTTCAGCTTTGTCAACTTGAGCGGAACAATCTATTCATACTAAAAGACAAATATGACGTACAAAACTGTTGCTTTGTCAACAGGGCGCAGCGGAAATTGTCACTCACCATCAGGTTTGACAAGCACCTCCTTTTGGCACATGTCCTGCACGTTGACGGTGCAGTTCACAACGTACTCGGGTGTTGAGCAGTCGTGCTTCATCTCACACTGGTAACACTGGATTTGAAGGGCGTCTCCTGCAAACGCATCAAACAAAGGAGGATGGTGAAAGAAGAAAAAGATTATTTCTTCACCAAGGAGCGGATGTACTCAAGGGTTGGCCATGATAGGAATAATTACATTTTGGTGTGATCTGGGAAAAGGAGTAGATCCAGGATACTCCCACCCCTTTTGATACAGTTTTTGACTTTGCAAAATTATGTATTGTTTTTCTGCGTTTCCTATGCATGGGTGTTAATGACAAAATCCAGGCTTTTGCAGAACCAGAAAGGTGTACAATTTGGAGGATTCTTTGACCAAATTAGATTCTAGTTACAGTTGACCTTGTGTGAAGTCTACA